ACCGTTAAGTTCTACTAAATTTTTCAAATCATGGGACTTTTCTTCAAAGTCTGAGCACTCGTCATCTCTCTCAACTTTTAATTTTAATGTTCCAAGGTAAATATGGAACCCAAGTTTAGCGGATACCTCTGAAAGTGTTTGAACCTGAGAAAGATCTTGAGGTTTCAGTAGATTAAATTTGAGATTAGCTTGTGTGTATTTGTGACTCAATTTATGCAATAAAATTGGAGGGTATTTACTATCTTCATTCTCGATCTGCAAATTATACTCTTGTAGCAACATACACAGTTTCTGAGCCTGCCCACAGGCCATATCATAAGATGGAATTTTCAAATCAGTTCGCCATATGAGATTGTAGGTCAACATGAGGCGATAACCTGATGTCACCGGGAGTATTTCATGGGTGATATCAGCGTACCACCCAGCAAAAGATGTGCTGAAACGTGATGATCCAGCTGTTTCGAACTCATACTTCTCATCGCCATGAGTCAAAACGAGCTTCCCGCCTTTATGTGCTGAAGGTAGGCAAACCACAAGCGTTCCGAACATCGCAGGGGCTTTTTCTGAGTCCTTGTGTTTTTTAAAGAATGCTCCTGGTTCATACAAGAGGAGTTTATTTAGTTCTGCAACAATCTTCTCCTCACCTCCCTCGATTCCGAGGCCTGAGCTGACAGAGTCTACCATTGTTTTCATGGCTTCAGTCCATTCTGGATTTTCAAGAGTAAACTGGGCTGGATTTAGCTCCCAGCATTTCCGAACTGATTCATCAACTAAAGTCTCTTCTCCCATACCAAAGGGAGAGGGACTGGCTTGAGAAATTATTATCTTGGCATCGTGTGTTGAAAGTGGTAGCCCTATGACTTCATGTTGCAGAATCTGGAGGCCTGGGTTTGGCAATGATGGATTTACAGCACTGAATGCAAAAGCAACTGGCTTCTTAAATTTTTCCAGAATTGACCAAATTTTCGACCGTAAATCATCTACTGATCTCTTCTGATGACGTTCTGAATAGGATGTATCTTCTTCTGATCCCTTATCTCCATCAGATTCCACATCATCATATTCTGAATCAATCTCTTCCTCAGCATATTCTTCATCGTGCCACATCATTTACACCTGTCTACCTAAAACAAATCAGAAAAATAATGAACAGAAGTTTTGGAAATAAGTCTCTAGCACTACAATGAAGTTGAGTAACCTGTGTTTTTACCAAGAATGTGTGTTCAAGATAAAGCCAGCTCCTCTTCTTACTAGTCATTTCATAGATCATTTATTACATGAGTCTTCATTATCCATGATTTCTCATCTTTCATACTTCAATTAAATTAGGCTCACTTTCAGGCAAATGTACGTACTGCTTTAATTATTGCTCATCCCACACGTACCAATTATTAACAAAAGATCACATTCTGAACTGGTGAGAGGCAAAACGAGATAAGAGGTGGACGTTACAGGTAAACCAGTTTCTTACGCACGTGACATACCGGTAAGTCTTGTGGGAAAAAGAGAAAAAAAGATTTCACCTTATCTTACGTGTCTATTATCATGCAACGCTCTCAAAAATGCAACTCTCTTGAAATTATAATGTAACTTTCTTGGAACACTTACACAATGAAGATCTCTCGTTTTCCATGTCGCTCAAATTTGGGCTGGTGTTTCCCTTTCTAATTTCACAGCACAAAATTTTCTTTATGCGGCACAAAAAAGCATGAAATGGCAAAAAATTATTGGACACAATTTTACTTTTCCACTGAGATTCAAAAAAGAAAGGATTGCTGTTTCTACAACTTTCCTTTCTTTCCGCCTATTTGGGCCGATATTTCTCCCTCAAATTTTGCAGAACAACATTTTTTGGAGTAGCACTAAATAGCACATAATTATGGCATCCTTTTTTCCCCGTATTTGGAAAGGGGGGGGGGGGCTGTCCTTGCTTCAACCTCTTCTTAAATCTGGTGTGGTACATTACCCTCTTAATTTTGCACTACATAATTCCGTTTTACAACCCAACATAGTACAAAATTAGCAGTAAGTTATTTTAATAATTATTTCCAATAATTCAAATATCTTATTGGAGGGCTATTGCCTCCACAGCTCCCTCAAATATGAGGTGCCGATTTACCCACTGAACTTTCAGAGAATTGATTTTTTCTGCTCCATGGCAATAATAGCAAAACATCAAGGCATGCTTTTCAGTTAAGAACTATGGCAAATGCTTCTTCATGAAATCAAAAAGGGAGGCTAACATTTCTGCAGCCCTCAATTTGAGGTTTTGTTTTCCTCCATACTTGAAGCATTTGGTGCAGCAAGGCCACTTCACAGTTGCAGTGTCTCTGAATCGCTGTTGACATTTCATCCATCATAAGGAGAGAAGATGGCCCTGCTAATTTTGAATGCTATTTTTAACATCTTTTCCTGGGAAAAATAAGATACCTATACCACTACACAAAGAGATTTATTTTGCATTATTTGCCGAAAAGGACTCAGAGATTTATTTTGCACAATTTGCCAAGAAGGACATACAAAAATATGTAATAGTACTTCCTTTGGAGAGTGCACCAAAATTCTTGAAATTTACTATTGGAGCATTCTAAAGTTTAAAAGAGATTAATCACGAAACTCAGAAAGTGAAGTCTAAGTATTGATAAGATTTCACTAAAAAATTTTGCTTCTGTATCAATAGAAAGCATCTTCTAGACATTTGTCTTAAAGATTTCAAAAAAGTACATTCAATTTCAATGTTTAGGGTTAAAAAGAATTAGTTTGATAACTCATCATTTCGCCTTTGTGCAGACAGCTGAAGATGCTTCACGTAACCAAGATCGGGCAGGTGCTGTTGTCAATTTCAGAATTAGTTGAAAATTGTTTAAATGCTAATTACACTTTTTTTAGTGCAAACTAAGTATGCCTTGAAATCATGACACCGTCTTTATAACAGTATTCCGGGTGACTGCCATGACAAACATACAAATTTCGAATTGGATTAATTTAACCACCATCAGACTAATTTTTTCTCATGTTTTTCCCTCCAAAAACTTAATATCAACATGATATGACTACATATTATACAAGTAATTTTTTTAAAATTTGAGGGAAGTTCACAGAACTTCATTCACGAGATGAAAGGTGTACTTAGGTGATAAAGTTTATATTCCTTTCATGTTTTAAGTGGTCACAGCTTTAGGAGTTATTTGCATTGCAAAATTAATGCAAAGGCAGAGGATCAAAAAAAGAGAGAAATAAAGACAGCACATGTGACTTCGATTTCATAATTATCTGCAGTCTGAGTTTGGGAACCATAGACTCAAATAAGTACAATGGAGTGTGTGCAAGATAATTTAAGGCTTGAATAATTTTGTAAGGTCTGATACTTTCAAACATATAAGTTGACAGAAAAGAGGAATGTTTTCCAGCAGCTGCTGCCGGAAACATTGAGCGCATAGAGTCATTATGCAATGAAGCAAGTCAAAGTCATACTTTGTTGTACACATTCCCAGCCTCGGGGTCATTTGGCATTAGATGCAGATTTTCATATATATTGAGGGAAAGAGAAAATGGTTATGTGCACAGAGCAATGTCAGATGACTTGGGTAATAAGTATGATGTATTAAATTATCTGATAAACATTTTAAAACAAATATAGTGAGAAAAAATGGATCAGTCAAAATTTTTCATTGCTAAACACAAAATAACAAGTTTTCTTCACGCTGGGTACCCAAAAGTCAAAAGGGTCCATATTACACCGAAATCTATACCCGACGCTCAAGGTTTTGCCTGCTTTTACCTTGCAGCCATAACCCTCCCTCCACTCTCCTGTTTCAGATTTCCTGTGGAAGTAGTCCCAAATGAGACAATTTACGATCTCGTGAGAGAAACCAACAGTTACCTTCCTGGCTGGTTTTATTCTAAGTTATCAATAAAGCTCAGGGACAAGCTACATGCCTTAACCCAAGTAGCATTTTTCAAAGTGAAAGTTGCAACAAGTTGAAACAATGATGGTATTAGTTGCAACAAAGTTTCAACTTTCGGTCAACTTTTGGTCGATAAGTGCCGATTTTCGGCGATCTGATCGGAAGACAAAGTTGCAACCTGCTGAGATTGCAAAATTGCTGAACCGAAGTTGTTTAAAATCTAAAGATAGGCAACCAGCAATACTTTGAAGTTGAAACATGTTTCAACTTAATTGCAACTACACTGAAAAAATAATATACTGTTTTAGCATCTAGGATGTCAAAGATGTGTCTGGTAATCTCAATATGCTGCTTTTATTGCCCCCGCAGTTAATTGTACATCCTGTGAATGCAGATTCAGTTGAGTGGGCAATCAAGGCAGCATCTTAAGATCATCAGACACGTTTTTAACATCCTAGGTGTTCTAAAACAGCATACCATTTTTTTCTGTGTAGTTCCAACAATGATAGCTCCTTCGGGGGAGAGAGTAGGCAATCTGCACATCAATCCATTAGTTGCAAGAATCAAACGATTTTGTTGCAAGTTGTTGCAACCTCTGCTACTTGGGAAGCAGCTTGTACTGAGTAAGAAAAAAGTTCCCGACTCCCCTCTCTAATTGAGGCGTTGGGTGCAAAAAGGGCATTTCTTGGTTGCAGTGTTTCAGAATCTCTTCTCCTAATTTATGATTTGGGGAGGAAACTATTGGGTGAATTTTCTGAAATTTTTCGTTTTCAACATTGTAAAGTCATGAAGAAAATTCAGTAAAGGTTTCAATGAACTCCACACATTTGCTTTACTTTTAAGGTATGAGACGTTGCCGGAGATTCTGAGACTTTGCAACCAAGAAATGCCTTTTTTGCATCTAGCGCTTGGTTTCTGCTTGAGTTAAGGATAGCTCAAAAAAAATTTGGAGACATAAAAGCGAACTCCTCTACCACAGTGTATTTGTAGATATTTCCCACATGTTTATTCTTCTGCTTTGCTAAAAATTGTGGGGAGGTCTCCTTTTTCTGATTCCATAATAAATTATTTACTGTATCATTTCTGACTTACCAACTTAAGGAGTTGAGAAATTCAGCTGTCCGAAAGGACACAGTAATATTGCACTACTTGCTACTTAATTGGTTGAACAGTTCGTCATGTGACTGAAAAAGGATTCCAAAACTGAAAAAAAGGAGAGATGGAGATATTTATTGAAACTATCAGTTTTATCACAACTTACTCCAATTTTACAACACAAATATCTCTCTTATTTCCATAGCTCATGCATGGTTAAAAAAATTCAAAAATTTTAAGACTTAAAATTTAGCTCAATTTCATACATGGTGAGCGCACAGTGCGGCATTAATTTAAGATAAAAATCAAACATTTTGAGTACCTAGGTAAATGGCTAAGTTTTGAAAATCACTTAGTATTTAAACCTAACACTGGTCTGTTGATTACAAAATAAATAGAATCAATTTTCAGATATATGTTGATGAAAAAGGTTGAGCTAGTTCATCACTTTCTTAAAAAATTTAAATTACCTCACCCATTGACGCATCCATTAGGCAAGGTCACAGCAAATTTGCGGGGCAAAATTCAGAGGGGAACTTTCGAGGCTGGAACTCTGAGCAGTTTCAAGGAGGGATTAATATCTCGGCGATGTTTTTGCTATATTATTTTTGACAGATGCTGGACGGGTAATATACCTCTGTTATTACTAGGTACATACAGTTTACCTCTGTTCTCCGCGATAATGTGAAAATTATATCTTGTCTAATTTTGCATCTGCCCTTGAAACTTTCTCCCCTTTGCCTCTCTCTCGACAGCTACAGACAAATCTCCCGAAAAAATTTCCCTCAAATCTCAGTACATAGAGGAGAGCTGAGATACATTTAAATTACCACACTACTCAGTATTTCAATAACTTGCCTCTGGCAGTAGTGGGAGAGGGTAAAAGCGTTAACATAGGATTGAAAAACTATAATTTGTTTAGAACTTTAACCTAGTGGAGCTTGGTTTTATGAAACCATACACAACTGTTCAATGTTCTAAGTTGAAAAATGTAAATCTATTGCAATGTTTCAAACACCACGTAAGCGTGCGCGTACCACCACCACGTGTGCGTACTCAGTTGCGCACTTATTTGAATTGGTGTTGTGGATGCGTTCCTCCGTCTCTAGTCTCTGGAATTCTGAGTGTGCCTGATCTCGCTGATTGTCTGTGGGATTAAGTTCTGAATTTATGAGGAGAGGAAGAGATGTACAGTGGCTGCTAACCCACCTACGATCAGGGATGTCATTCGCGCTGAGGATGTGGAAAAGTGGGGTCCTTTAAGTACGACCTTGTAGCTCAGAGCTAACATTGGACACTCAGTTTTTGTAACATGAATCACTTTCTCTCTTAAGTTGTGATTTCACATTGTATCATGACAAGATTGGAAAACAAAGAAAAAAATTCCATTACTTTAGAAATCTACCCTCTCAATTTGGTAATTTGTGCTCCCCTGGTGGCAGTGCGATAATGAGATTGCGACCAATTCATGCTGCGCGGATAATGTGATAAGAAGAAAACAAGCAAAAGTGCCAACTTCAGTACAAGAGTTTGATTCTGTAAAAAATTGGACTCAAAAACTTGGACAAGATTCTGACAAGGATTGCACCTGTAAAAGGGCTGCCTCAGTTGTCCACCCCTATTAATGGCATGCAACAGATGCTTATGAAGTTAAAATGGTGAGAGGTGTAGGGGAATTTTACCTGCAAGTTATCTCTAGTATTCTTGGCAGTAGTTCAGAAAATACATCCAAGAGCAAATGAATTCCGTACTTAATCCAATGATTAGAGAAAGGTGAATTGACAGCTCAAAAATGCTTCTAAAAGCTATCTGGAAAATAACAGAAATAAAGAAAAATAACAATTACTTGTGTTTCAGGAGGGAAATTCACTTAAACACTGGTGTCATTTCAGGAGAAAAGTTACAAAATCAAGAGCGTCAGCATGTGGGCTTGTCCGTTGGATGCAAGTCTACGCCTTACACAGACCCGCAAGATTTACAATGTAAACTTTCGAGAGTCTTTACAAAGTAATGGGAAACATAGTGAATAAATCATTGATTTCAGTTGGTCGGATAGGTTTTAATGCGACAAAACTTACGGAAAGTTGAATTTCAGATTACTTCTGTCCCTCTACGAGATGCCTCAACAAATCTGAACCTGTATGCTAGCTGACTGTCTCGGACGAGGCTACGTTTTGGGTGAATGAATAACACCAATATTGAATAATATACCATAGGTGGCTTACTTTTTTCGGTTGAACAGGAAATTCATTATCAGAGAGTAAAATGGGAAAGAAAAAATCCGTGGTAACTGTAATTACGAAAACGGCACGTGCATCACAGCTCAAACAGCTCAAAGGTTGATATTAATATTTGTGTTTTGGCGGCTTTTTCTCTTCTACGTCATCATAAATTCGATATTTTCTTCGATTTCGTCACGTTGTTTTGAAGAGGTTATGTTCTATCACCAGTCAGTCAGTGGCATAGACAGAGACAAGAGACCCTCCACTGGCCTCCTAGCGACAGGTGGAAGCTTTTACTTTCGGGGTTTCAACAATTCCTTATGGACAATTATGAGCGAGCAACAGTCATCAGCCTATTTTCGGCTGTTGACTTACCTACATGGTCGATGATGAGCTTCGGATGACGTCATAAGCCAAACAACTTTCCCAAACGTCGGCCATTTTCGGCTTGTTTGCGAAACGAAACTGCCAACACGTTGTTGAACATCAACCATGTAGGTAAGTCAACAGTAGAATGCTGAAGTCCCGAAAGTAAAAGCTTCCACCATAGCCAAGTTACTAGTGGAGGGTCTCTTGTCTCTGGGCATAGAGTACTCTATGGTCAGTGGCTCAGTTGGGCTCAGTGCTGATAACAGATTATCATCCCAACATCAATTACACTAATTTATATTGTAATGTTCAATGTTCACCTCATTTGTATTTCATTCACAAATTTTATCCGTAAGTCTTTATGCTAAAGCTATTTTTAACAAAGTTATATCATTCAAAACTTCACAAGTCTTCAATGTCGAATTTAATGTGTTTTATGTGTGCAAATTTTTAGATTCTGTTGCGTCTTAGCGACGCTCATGGTTTGGGCTGTCTAACTTTAAATAAAGGCTTCTTCACCACTTTATAATTAATTTTACAGGAAACTATTAATTCTAAAATGTAACGTCCTACTCATGAACGTTGCCTCCATCTAGGGAAGCTTATGCTCTCTGGCTTTACATTTTTTGCAAGCAGGACCGCATTCATTGCAAGGATTGTTGGCAGTGCATTATTGTCAATAACTTCAAACTTAGCAGAAAAATCCAAGTATGTCTACTGCAATCCAATGTTATTTTGAGTTCTCGCAGGTTAACATGCTAGCAAAAGGCATGGGGGAACACGCTTAGAAAGATGGCAGCAGCAAAAATGAGCCATAGAGAAAACAGCCATGGTATAGAAGAGCGTACACACCAAACTTGTGAATGCATCAGAAATATGTTTCCTCTCCACCTATTAACACTTGGTGACTGTTCTAATCTATTGTTTTCGACCCAAAATGGGGATATCCATGCAATTGTTATTGTTAACTCTGCTATGATTGTGCAACCTTTTCTTTCTTGCCAGAAACTCCAAAGCTTTTGAATCTCCAGGACCAGAATTCTTGACGGCTACCTGCACATCCCACGACCAAGACATTTTTTCAACACAATCGTGGGTTAGGAAAGAGGGGGAAAAGGAGCAGCAAATAAAGGTATGTCATCACTTGGAAAATCTCATTGGTAAAAGGGTTTTTTAAAATGGGAGAGCTGAGAACTTTGTGTAGGTACAGGGTGTCTACCAGTTCGGAAAGTCCGGAAAAAGTATGCAATTTTTAACGTCGGTCCGTAAGTACCTTAAAAGTATGTAAATCTTGCGGAAGGTCCGTAATTTTTCGCATTTTGCGCTGCGCGTTCAGTTCGATCGCCTAATAGTTATGCAACCCTCTGTGCATTGTCTGTCAGGTGTATTAGTGCGATGTCAGCCCGTATGAGCGCCTTTGTTGTAGAGGAGCGGAATTAGGCATTTCCCTAGATTTGACGGAAACAGCCGAAAAGGCCGCAGGAATAGCTGAAGTATAGTGCGCGGCAGTGCCAAAATCGAAGAATTGCGATATCAAAAAGGTACTTAAAAAGTACTTAATTTTTCCCCAAGGCGAGGTACTTAAATTTTTCCTTAAGTACCTAAAAAGTACTGAAAAAGTACTTATTTTATTTTTGTGAACCTCAGTAGACACCCTGAGGTATCCTTGTTAATTACTGCCTGACATGGTCATTAATGGCAACTGTCAATACAATCGGCACTGTATTTAGAGTGAAAAAACTAATACTAGAGTTGAAGGGTCAAAGTGCAACTATTTTTCACCCTCACACAAGGATTGCAAAATATAGGGTAATTCAAAACTTCAAAAAAATAAAATGAAACTGCAAGCAAGAGTGGGAAAGGAGAATTTTTGCAGTATCAGTAAAATTACAATTTACTCGGTTCCTTTAACTGCTAAACTTAGTTGCATTATACTCACTCAAAGTAAGCCCTTATAACTGATACCTAATTTCATCAAGTTGTTTGTATACTTGATTCTCACTTTCTTTCATTAAGTAACTATGTTTCTCTTTTCCTTCAGCTGGTCTGTTGCTAAAAAAGTCATGGCTCACAAATGTATCAGGAGGATGAAAGTTTTGTTGAAGATTCTAAGCAATGAAAACTTCGGAGCAAAGGCCCAATTTTGCACTGGCAGAATGCAGAGAGGTAAATTTTAACTCTGAATACTCAGATTCTTTTTCAACCACTTTTTACTCTCAAAAAAGATGAAATAAAAAAAGTTGGATAGCGGGACCCAGGCTATCCAACAAAAAGAATCATTTAGGTAATACCAAACAAGAAAATGTTTTTAGTGGTGTGTCTTTGATCCCCATTGGTACATTACAAAGAGGACAATCATGAGCCTAGATTAAACCGGAAATGTGACAAAGATACTTCTATAAAACTCATTTCAAATTGTGAACATGGAGTTCCAGAGAAAAATTAACAGTTGAGTTGTTTGTAATATCTAGTGTCTTGAACTTTAAAATATAACGACGGCATGAGTCTGCAATCTCATATCTCATTTGCGGTGTCTGAAAATCTCTGCCTCTATGTTATTTTTTTAAAGGAGAACAAATTGACATCATTCCTTGAATTTTTTGCGCACAGAGAAGAAAAATCATGGCCGTTTTACAGAATTGCCATTGAGTAGTTTTCTGTTTAAAAAATAAAGTATGACGGAAAGTCTGGGACGTTGCAAACTGAATTATGTGATTGTCGACTTACACTGTCAATAAGCTGCTTTAATTAGATTGGTGTGTCAATTTTCTTACCGCAGCTTTTGCAGAGTTAGAGTAAAAATCTAAACAGTGAAATACCATAACTAGACCAAAAAATAATTATTTGGATAATCTTGGTCTAGTGCCATCTGTTCTCCATTGAAGTTAAAGACTTTCAAATCTTTTCTCCTTGATTTTCAGGTAAAAGGAAAGTAATCATTGATGATGTAGAAAAGGTAATAAGTGATGCAAAAAATCCTGAATTTGTGCCTCATAAATACTGTAAGTATCAAGAGATCTTCCTATAAATTGCTACTTTTGTTAATTTTTAAAATTATTATTAAATTTCTGTTGTCTTGCAAAGCAATAACTGGTTTAAAGTTTAGAATATGCTGAATTTATGTGGGGTCTCTAGAACCCCCTCAAATTTTCTTTAAGTGTAAGCAAAAAGAGTATGGCTATCTTCAAGAGCCATGGTCACTTGCAGATTTGAGTGATGCGGGTCCAAGGGTCAAAGTCCCCTGGCCAGCTGTGAAGCAAGTGCACACTACATACTAATTAGTGACACCCTAATGGATCAATGGATTGATACCTATCAATTGATTGAAGAAGTGTGTGGAAAAATATCTGTAGGCAAGGAATTAGAGTATTCAATCTCTGATATAATCCAGCTGAATTTGGGAAACTCCTTAGTTTAGAACACCGAAACACTTGTAAAATCAATAAAATCCTAAAAAACTTACCAATACTGTATAAAAACTAAATCGGTCATTATAAAATTGTCCTCGTAAGTAACTGTGATTTTGAACAATCAGGACACAAAAGCAGTCATTTTTGACCCAGAAAATCCCTCCCTTTGTTCAAGATTTTTTTCTTACCTCAAATTCTCCTTGATATTTAAACAAAAAAGAACAAAGTAATTAATTTTGCTAAACTCAATTTTCACAATTCATTTTACACAATTTATGATGGTCAAAATTAATAGCAATGGAATTTCACCCCTTAGCACTTAGCATGCAACAAGACATGAAGACTTCCCTGGATAGAGGGCTATGTTTCTTCAAACATGAAAGTTTCTTAAAAGATATGTAAACAGATTTCAAAGAGAGCGTAAGATAGTGTCTTCCAGGAGATTACTTTTCCTCTTATTCTGTATTCAAGTTGTATTTAATTTATTTATTGAACTGTTTTTATAGTGAAAGAGAAACTAAACCAAGAGGAGCTAAGTCATTTGAGATGGATGCTACAAAAAGAAAACATGAAGCAAGATATATTTTTAATTGGACGGCCAGGAATCAGCCGAAGAAATTTAGCTATGGCTTTTTTAGAGCTGACCTGTAAAGAATATGAATATGTTTCTTTGTCACGAGATACCACAGAAGCAGATTTGAAGCAAAGACGTGAAATTATCAATAGTTCTGCAAAGTATATTGATCAGGTAAATACCTTTGAATCTGTTTATCCTACAGGATTCAATGTATTGCATGTTCTCTGTAAGCAATAATTGAGAAACCCAATGTACAGTCCCGCTGATTCTTGGCGTTGTTGAGTTTTCAGAAGTAGCCCAATTGATTTCCATGTACTTTTTAGAGCTGAGCTTAAGGAAAATGCCTCAAAATTTCTTCACATTTAATTTTCCAGACAATCTGAATTTTCTCCTTAAAACAAGATTGAACAGATAAAATTTAATTCTTTGAATAATTCGTGTATGATGAGAAGTAACTAAATTTATTTTGGATTCAGTAGCAAAAAATACATCAGAATGCCATTACAGCATGCCTGAAAATTTTTTTTTCTACCTATGACAGCACACTCTTTTTAGTCAGGTCATTCCTTTTCAAATAACTTACGAATCACCTTTGGTTGTTTTCGTTTTTAAAAGGAAGAGAGAACAAACATTGACAGTTGTCCGATTCATATGTAACTAAAGTAAAGTCTGTTAGACAGGGTATGAAATTCATCATACTTAAAGAAAGTAAGAGGAAGGGGGACCTTTATCAAAAATGTTTTAAGTTTAAAATTTTCAAAGAAATAACGTAAAGCTGAAGTTAAAATAAGGCCAGCAGTTTAGAATAAACCACTAGACAGGTTCAGTAACGTAGCACTGCAGCACATGTTTTCTTAGCAAAATTTCTCATAGAAATTGTCAGATGTATAAAAAAAATTACAAAATTAGCCCCTAAAAGAGTAATAAACGTCCATAACTTACATTTTAAATTAAAAATTCAAACTTCATGTTTGAGAAGAAACCACAATAATTGTAGGCCAGATTACGCAGTGAAATCAACTCGTACCCACATCAGACGTACAATTAGTGCTTTGTTTCACACTCATTTCCTTCCTCTTCTGATTTCAATCTTGTCGAGGAAAGTCAGTTCACAGGCAAATTCTTTCACAGTAAAATCTATTGTAATCAATTTAGTGCTTTAGTAGCTTTCCGTAAGCAGGAAGTACAAATTATTATCAAGGTAGAAAAAGACAATTATTTTCCAACTCATGAGTTGAATTTGGAAAGGTTTAATGCATTCATTATATTCTGCATTGAATTTTGATAAGGAAACACAAGTTATGGTGCTAAATTTAATTTTCTACCATGTCTTGTGGTTTATTAACTTAATGTAGCTGCAGGTAGATCCACAGTACTTACTTACAAGAGCAACTCTGTAGTTTAACAATCAAATATCAATTTCTGAATTTCAAGACATCTTTTTAAAAATCCCAAACAGTCACGAAAAATTATTTTGTCATACAATTTACACTATTCTGTTGGGTTGTAGTTTTGGTATTATTTTCAAGCATTTCCTGATCAAATTTTGTTTATTATTTACTGAAGCACAACTGCATGATTATATTCTCGAATTTATCATGAATTTATCAAATCTCTATTGCAAGCACTGTTAGTAGATCCAACTTAATTTAATTTGTTTCTGATCTCATCGTTTAAATTCATTTTGTTGTTTTTTCTGTTTTTGTTCACCGTAGAGTGCCGTGCGAGCAGCTACGCAAGGGAGAGCTCTAGTACTAGAAGGGATCGAAAAAGCTGAAAGAAACGTTTTACCTGTTCTGAATAATTTACTTGAGAATAGAGAGATGCATCTAGAAGATGGTAGATTTCTAATTGAAAGCCATACATATGATAAATTACTTGAGGTTTGTACTCTATCCCCTTCCTTGTATTGCTTGCCTCAAAAAAAATGAGTGGCTATTTCTGATGCTTAGATGGTGCCATGATGTTTCAGTAAAGAGAATGGGCCAGAATGGGCCAGTAGACAAGGTACGAATGTAAGCAGTTTGATACACATTTTCAAAACATAATTTTATGCAGTACACAATTTGTGCAACGTAAATCACTGAAACTAAAGCCTAACTAAGACATTCAATGTTTTTTGATGCGTAAATTCAAACATTCCGCTTATGAAAAAACAATAGTCTTCAAGAGTCAAACTGCGCACTGAACAGTACCATAATAGTCTCTGAGGTATAAAAGTATGACAACTTCAATCTGAGTGCTTCAGCTCTGCTGTTGCATGTTGCAAACACTTTGAACATCAGACGTGTTTTGTTCAAAATAACAAAATCTTTCCGTTTTTCCCTGTTTTTTTTACGTGATTCTGAACAACCAATGAAAGAGCAACTTTCAATTTTAGGTTAGAAAACAGCGTTGCTTTTTTGAACAACATAAAAACGACTTGCTTAGAGCTTGTTGCAGTTGTTGTACAACAATGTTGCTTCAGAGGTTCCCTTTAGTGCGCAAAAATAAGCCCCGCCCCTGCAACACAAAACAATTCTGAACAAAATGCGATTATTGCTTATTTTCACAACATGTTGCAAGTGTTGCCTTCGTACAAAATACGGCCATCAAAAGGCGAGGAAAGAACTTTTCTCAATTGAGAAGTCGTTCGAAACCGTTGCAGTGCGCAATTTGATTCAAGTAGACTTTTAGTTTTCTTTTGAGCAGGGAATTAGAACTTCCTGTGACCGATATTAACTAAAAACATCGATATCCTAGTTAGGAGTTTATTTCAGTATTTTTCGTTATATAGATTGTGTTGTGCATAAAATTTTGGTCAGGGAAAATGTATCAGAATACTTAAATTTGTACTTTGTCTACTGGTCCATTGTTGGAATACCTTTCCGCTTTCAACTGACAAGAGGAGGCCGAGAAGTGGTTGCCTCTGATCTTAATGGGGTTTGTAGCAATAATTAGTTCAAAGACAGCTAATTGACGGGCACATTTTAGTTATTTGAACTGCCTACCTGGAGTTTCAAACCCATGACCCCATGGTCATGAGGGGAGTATTAAATCATTGCGCCACTAGTGATGGATATGCCGATAGCTGAAAGTCGCTCTTCTTAGCACAGATGGTCAGTGGAGGGCCTCTCTGAATGAATTTTGAAGGGTAATGAGAGCCTATTAGCAGAAATTGAAAAACACCAAAATTCCTGAAAACTTTCATGCAGTACAGGGGCATTGCAGTAACCTTGGTCACAACGTTTTCCCTAACATCTCGTTTCAATGCGTCGTGATTTAATAAATCATCAGTTTTTCAAAAACATAAATTTGCTGGAGCTAAGGATCATTTGTGGGAAGGAATTTCACCTAGTTTATTAGTTCTTTTGGGATTATCATTCTCCCAAGCTTCATAATAATTTAGGAGGAGTGGTAGGAATGTTTCCCTCTACAACTGAGAAAATTATTTTTTCATAATGATTGTAGTGAAACCTACAGCAAATATTTGTAAGTGACAAATTATGAAAATGTGCTTCCTCCAATATTTATGATTGTGCAAAAATAATTCTCATTTTTAATTCGGTTCTCTTGCAGAAACATGGTGAGGCAGAGTTGAAAAAGTGGCATTTAACTCGAGTAAGCGAAGATTTTCGAGTCATAGCTCTTGGTTTACCTGTTCCAGCTTATCAAGGCAATGCTCTAGATCCACCTCTGCGATCTCGGTTTCAAGCCCGCAATATTGCACCTCCCCTTTACGAGGTATGTAAACTTCTAGGGTTAGAGTTAGGTTAAGGGTAAACAATTACAAAAAACCATGAATATTAGGCAATTTTTTAATGTACGTTTTTAGAAAAAAGTGTTTTCCTCATATTTAGGCCAAAAAAATAGGATCAGAACATATTTATGTGCTAATAAAAGACCAGGGACGAGAAGTCCCATATTTCAAATTTTCGCTCAGGTACCGGCGGTTTTTCGATATTTCTCGAGCCTTTGTGGATATACGCTGTATTGTGAGTGCTCGACTTACCAAAGACTCCGTAAATAAATCCTCGCCTTTTTGACGGAAGGGCGTATCCCAATGTCCACATAAACCTTATTTTATATCTGGACATTCGTGCTTTTGGGGGCTCATGTGCGAAAATCGAGTTACGCCCTTATGTCAGAGGAGCGGTGTAATAAAAAATAAGTTGTCAGGTAGTACTACTTATCATTGCAATGCAATTACGCCTCTACAGCTCCGACCGCTTCAATGGTTATTTGTGTTCCCTAAGGACAAATTGTAGGCACCCTATTTCAGCACTTTTGGATGCCAAGTAGTGCAGACCTTTGGGGATGGACTTCTTGGACGCCAGGGGGGGGCAGCCCCGAGGGTTGGGTTGCTTGGATGTCAGGTGGGGCAGCCCCTGGGAGGTTGGGCTCCATGGATGCCAGGGGGAGCACCCTGAGGATTGGATCGCTTGGATTTCATGAGGGGCTCTTTGGATGCTAAGAGGGGCCCCCTCTTACGGTTGGACTTCTTGGATACGAGGGGGGGGGGCAGCCTGGAGGGTTGGGTCGCTTGGATGTCAGGTAGGGCAGCTCCGAGGGGTTGGACTTCTTGGATGTCAAGTACTGCAGCCCCTTGGGGTTGGACTTCTTGGATGCTAAGGGAGGGGAGGGTAGCCCTGAGGGTTGGGTTGCTTGGATGTCAGTTGGGGCAGCCCCCAAGGGGTTGGGCCTCTTGGATGGCAAGGGAGGCAGCCCCTGGGGGTGGACTTCTTGGATGCCAGGGAGGGCAGCCCCAAGTGTCGGGTTGCTTGGATGTCAGTTGGGGCAGGCCCCGGGGGGTTGGACTTCTTGGATGCCAAGTAGTGCAGCCCCTTGGGGTTGGACTTCTTGGATGCTAAGGGGGGGGGGGGTAGCCCCGAGGATTGGGTTACTTGGATGTCAGGTGGAGCAGCCCCCGGGGGGTGGGGCTTCTTGAATGCTGAGAGGGGCCTTCACCTTGGGGTTGGACTTCTTGGATTCCAAGGGTGGCAGCCCCGAGGGTTAGGCTGCTTGGATGTCAGGTGGGGCAGCTCTGAGGGGTTGGGCCTCTCGGATGGCAAAGTGGGCAGCCCCTGGGGGAAGGACTTCTTGGACGCCAGGGAGGGCAGCTCCAAGGGTTGGGTTGCTTGGATGTCAGGTGGGGCAGCCCCCAGGGGGTCGGGCTTCTTCGATAAGAGGGGGGGGGGGCAGTAGGGTGCGTCAAAAAAAATGAAAGTCTGAAATGTTCCGCTCCCCAGGCGGCAATCGATGACGTTTGGTAAAAAAACATGTTTGCCAAAATTTGGGCCAGTTTCAACCATTTTAAATGGTGCCAAAGGTCAATTTTGTGATGAAATTATGATATTTTGGTTTAGACCTCGATTTCCTACAAAAAACTCGATTTTACGCTGAAATCGTGCGTTTACGAGAAAAATGTCAAAGAACTCGACTTGTAGAGGATGAAATTTTACACTAGGAGGGCGTCTTTGAAACCGATAAAAATCAAATTGAACTAGAAAAACTCAACTCTGTATTTATTTTTTTGGTCCTCAGAATTTCCGAGGTCTTACTAAGTAGAGGTTTAAAAGATTCATTTTTCACGAAAATAAGTCGAAAGAGGGTATAAATGAACTGTAGGCAAGTGTTGAGGATGCAAATGTCATCAGAACTTCCTCAGTTTCAAAAAAAGTTCCAACTATTTTGCACAATCCTCCAAAAAGTGTACGGCTCGAGAAGCAGGATCGTGCTATAATAGTAGGGGGAAAGTGCGGTTTGACCGGGAAAAATTGCATAACAAACTTTCCCTATGTAATCGTCATCAGTAGGTCCCCCTGAACAACTTCCTAAAAGTTAAAAATGGCCCGACCCCGGAATATCCCTCAAAAAAGTTAAAATTGAAAATGGCGGCCGTAATAAGAGGGTCCGGGAAATCGGTATTTTAAAATGCTCATTCTGTCTCATCATGTGAGGTAGCATTTCCTATGTAATTTTGGTCGTAGATTTCATAAATGAATTCCGCAAGGCCCTCCGGCCAAAGGGGGCGCTCCAAATCAAAGATGGCGGCCAAATTTGAAAGGCAGGAGGTTGCATTTTTTTAAATATTCACCGAAGGAACAAGGAAAGTGAAGTGCCTTAATTTTCATGTATTTATGGCCAAGAAACTTAAATTTGATGTTATAAATGTATTTAATAAAGGAAATTAAAGGAAACATACGACTACCGAGAGAAACGTAAGCTCAGAAGGGGCCTCGCGGAATTCATTTATGAAATCTACGACCAAAATTACATAGGAAATGCTACCTCACATGATGAGACAGAATGAGCATTTTAAAATACCGATTTCCCGGACCCTCTTATTACGGCTGCCATTTTCAATTTTAACTTTTTTGAGGGATATTCCGGAATCGGGCCATTTTTAACTTTTAGGAAGTTGTTCAGGGGGACCTACTGATGACGATTACATAGGGAAAGTTTGTTACGCAATTTTTCCCGGTCAAACCGCACTTTCCCCCTACTATTATAGCACGATCCTGCTTCTGGAGCCGTACACTTTTTGGAGGATTGTGCAAAATAGTTGGAACTTTTTTTGAAACTGAGGAAGTTCTGATGACATTTGCATCCTCAACACTTGCCTACAGTTCATTTATACCCTCTTTCGACTTATTTTCGTGAAAAATGAGTCTTTTAAACCTCTACTTAGTAAGACCTCGGAAATTCTGAGGACCAAAAAAATAAATACTGAGTTGAGTTTTTCTAGTTCAATTTGATTTTTATCGGTTACAAAGACGCCCTCCTAGTGTAAAATTTCATCCTCTACAAGTCGAGTTCTTTGACATTTTTCTCGTAAACGCACGATTTCAGCGTAAAATCGAGTTTTTTGTAGGAAATCGAGGTCTAAACCAAAATATCATAATTTCATCACAAAATTGACCTTTGGCACCATTTAAAATGGTTGAAACTGGCCCAAATTTTGGCAAACATGTTTTTTTACCAAACGTCATCGATTGCCGCCTGGGGAGCGGAACATTTCAGACTTTCATTTTTTTTGACGCACCCTAGGGGGGCAGCCCCGAGGGTTGGGTTGCTTTGATGTCAAGTAGGGCTCCTTGGATGCTAAGAGGAGCCCCATCTTGGGGTTGGACTTCTGGAATGCGANGGGGGGGGGGGGGGGCAGCCCGAAGGGTTGGGTTGCTTGGATGTCAGGTGGGGCAGCCCCGAGGGGTTGGGCCTCTTGGATGGCAAGGGTAGCAGGCCCTGGGAGTGGACTTCTTGGATGCCAGGGAGGACAGCCCCAAGTGTTGGGTTGCTTGAATGCCAGTTGGGGCAGCCCCGGAGGGATAGACGTCTTGGATGCCAAGTAGTGCAGCCCCTTGGGGTTGGACTTGTAGGGGGACGAGGAAATAAGACGCGCGTGGATCGGTGTGAGAACATTTATTCGAACCCTAAAAGAACAACAAACACTATGGTCAACGAGACTAGCTGCGAAAAGTGAGAGATGTGAGGCTGAGACTCTGGCCGGTCGTGCCGGTGGCATATATACAGGACTGAAGGAACCTAGAAGGGTCTAGAGGCGCCGAGGTGCGGGAGCGTGCAGCGGTGGTGGAACAAGGCAGGAAGGCTAGAGAACCTTCTGGGAAAAGGCTCCGCGCGGCGCTTGGCGGGGCGCGCAGTTGCCAACTCGTGAGCCACGCTCAGGAGCGTGGCCTGTGTGGCGTGGACGCCACAGACTTCTTGGATGCAAGGGGGGAGCAGCCCCATTGACGTATAATACAATCTAGACCACGCATTGGGCCCGACTATAGGCGGATAAGGTAAAACAGCTGGGGGGGGGGGGTAAAGACGCGCCTTCAGCCTAGTTGATACCGCCGGATATACGAGCTAAGTATACCTGTATCAGGCAACGGCACTGATAAGATTGGCATTTCCATTGTCTCGGTACGTATTGCCGGTACACTTACTGGGTGTTGCTGGGTTGCCTATCGTCTCGCCTGAAGGGACTCTAATCTTGCCGAAATTTCCTAATGCGCGGTCTAGATTGTGGGTCATTCCACGTCAACGCAACCAAGGTCGGAACCCGACCCCCTCCGATTTGGCTGAAAATTGGCATACGGGGTCTTTACATCATTCTAAGAAACTAATTTGAAGGGTTTTCCCATCCGACGCCCCGTTCGCGAGATATCGACCCCCAAAGATGGGGTGAATTTTAGTGATATTCAAAAACGCCCGTTTTGGCGATTCTCATTTTCTCGACTTCCCTCTCTTTGACTCTCCATAGCGAGACTCTGTATCAATCCATCATACTTTGAAAGAGTGTTTCTAGACCAATTTTTCATGTAAATTCTGAATATGCCATCAAAATTGGGCTAAAAATTATTTAAACGGCCGTAATTTAGAGTTTTTTAAAATTTACGATTTTTTCGCCATTCAATGTTCAAACTGAATTATCTAAAAAACAGTCTCTCCGATTTTCGATTTTTTTTTTTATACTTCAAGCTTAGGATATATACTTTCGGTTGATATACTTTTTTCAATTGCCATCGGACGGTTAAGGGCCTAAAAAAATTCAAATAGGCCAAAAAAGGCTAAAAATTGGTAAAAAAGGACGATTTTTCACATGTTAATCCAAATATTTCGATAATGAACTCTTCAATTATCGATATTTTTTCCCACTTTAACCTCTAACATGTATAAAATCAGACTATCAACGCTTTCCATACATGCACCGATCGATTAACGGCCTGATGGAAACCGGA